CTGCTGCTGGCGGCCGTGCTGCTGCTGGCGGCCCCGCCGCGGCTCCGCGCCGCTCCCGAGGAAGAGCCCGGCAGGAGGAAGGAGCCGCCGCCGCCACCTCCGGCGGCGCAGGGAGCGGAACCGCGGGCTGAGGTGAGGCGGGGACGGGCCGCGCCGGCTGCCCGYGCTGTGCCCCCCGCGGTAGCGCTCGCCGCGCCGCTCCGCGCCGGCCGGAGGGCAGCGGGGCTCCGAAATTCCACGCTGTTAGCAGGAAAATGAGGGCTGCAGGGCCGCCGCATCCTCCCCTTTTTCTGCTAAAAGAGGGACATCTAAGTCCGACCTGGAAAAAAGGGTCAGTGCTCTCTTTMCCCTGGTAGAAGCATTTGAGGGCAGGCTTTATTGTTATTCCAGACCTGCCAGGTTTTTTCTCCCTCAAAATTTAATATAAATTCTTTTGCGTTAAAACTTGTTGAACAGTGTTCTCGGTGAGGGTGCCGCTGATCACACAGAGGGATGGAAAAATTACTGGCATGTGACTTGGTGTAGTACGTCGAGCATGCCAGGTGTCACATACCCAAAGCAAAAAAACAGAGTGCTGCAAAAGGTGAAGGAGCTCTGGGAAGTCACAGTGTGTCACACAGAGCGTGGGAGCTTCTAAATATCAACACCAAAAAACTTGGAGCCCTGCTGAAAGTGGAATGCTGGGAAGCTGTCGTGTCAAAACATGCTGTGGGCTGTCTCTGCTGGTGGATGTGCTGGAACAAGCTTTCTCAGCCATCCCTGGTCAAGGATTTGAACACCGACATAGATCCTGGGCCTCTCTTTTGATCGTAGATACTCTACTGTGTGTAGATGTAAACACTTCGGTGGGTGAGTGGGAACGGGAGTGTGCTGGTCTAGTTTTGCCACTGGAATGTCTCAAAGTTAGTTTTCAACAAACACAGAGCAAGTGCAGAAAAAGCTGATCAAAACTTGCACAAAATTTGGCTTGGGCTCAAAGTGAAAGAGGAGAAATGTAGTTAGTTATCTGGGAGAAATTCTTTCATGTTGGAGTGGTGAGGTACTGGTACTAGTTGCCCMGAGAAATTGTGGATGCCCCATCCTTGAGTGTGTTCAAAGCCAGGTTGGATGGAGCTCTGAGCAATCTGGTCTAGTGAAAGATGTACCTGCCCATTGCAGGGGATGTAAAACTAGATGATTGTTGAAGTCCCTCCCAACCCATTCTATGAATCTATAGAATTTTTATGTATCTGAGAGGCAAAGATTTTGCAAGGGAAGCTCATGATCCTGACCATTTTTTAACAGTTTTATTTTCCTAACGTATCACAGTCACCCGGTTTTAATTTGAAGCACTTATTAATGTTTGTATGAAAAAATTGGTTAAGGTTAAAGTCATAACGTAGGTGGGGATTTTAAAGATAGCAGTATTAGGCCTGAGCTGACCATGTTTTGTTGTAATGGTTCTCTCATGTTTAGTGTGCATGGTGAAGCAATGTTTTAACAATCAGTAAAATCTAATTGTCTTGCRGAGTGCCTAACTGGCACTGAGGTAGTTAACGATCAGTTAACTACCAAGAGCTAGTTAACGATCAGTAAGGAGCACGAGAGATGTATCTACTTAAAATGTCACTACACAGTATGGTGTGATAGGAGAAATATAAGGCTCTATACTTGTGTGTATTCAACCCTAATTGATGAGTGTTTAGCATTTGTTTTGTTTTGTCTCTCCCCAATTTTTCTTACAGAAAGGGTCCTCACTAGTTGCTCCCGTTCACATTGTCAGTGAAGAGTCAGCTGACAAGACTAATTTGGGCTTTATTCATGCATTTGTGGCTGCTATATCAGTCATCATCGTATCAGAACTGGGGGACAAGACCTTCTTCATCGCAGCCATCATGGCCATGCGCTACAACCGTCTGACTGTACTGGCTGGTGCTATGCTTGCCCTGGGACTGATGACATGTTTGTCAGGTTAGCACTGGTTTTTTTCCTTTTTGTTTCACCTCTTAAGAAGTGACAGGTATGTATTGATCAAAAAACCTTWACTGCATTTGGAATGCAGGTAGTACATATATGCAGTTTGGTGTTTTGAGGACAGTATGAAGCTTTTCCTGCAGAGCATGGACTCTCAGATTGAATATTTAGGCTCTTGCCTCTRATGAAGTCTTTGTGTTCCCTAGGCCTTAATAGGAGTTTAAGAAAGGGGAGTGAGATGGAGAGCCTAAGCACTTCCTTTGATTTTTGGACCACTGGTTGCCTTTTTTGTTTTTTGCTCCTGTTAAATTAGTGTACCTACGGAGAATGTGGGAGTGGCTTCTGGATTTCCTCCTAAGGCAAAAGATTCTTTGTATGATGCCACATATTTTCCTCATCTGACTTGTATTGCTGCACACGTAGCTGTTTGGATTTGTGCTGGGAGCTGCATAAGTGGAAGATGGAGGGGAGGGAGCGGGAAGTAAGGTATCAGGTGGCACTTGAGGAACCTGTAGCTATGGGCACTTACRTAGCTGTGGTTGGAACTGGAACAGCCTTTAGTTACATCAGATGCAGCAATGAGTTTGTGTGCTCGTTTCTAACCATGCCCATTTCAGAAATACTGGAAATAGTGGTGATTAGCTTATACACACTGGAGACAGCCAGTTCACTGACTCAGCTGCTTGGCAGGTGTTTCTGTGAATGGGTTTTAGGTGTGTAGCTATTGCTGTGTACACTGTTGTGATTATTGCAGTTTTAGTTGGAGCAGTTTCCACTTGCATTGTGTGTAATTTCTCCTGACCATTAAGGCTCTCTTTTTCTAAGTCTTTTTTCAAATCTTTTTTGATGCTTTCTCATCAGAAAAGCTTCCTTTTCTGCCTTTATCCTCCAGTTGAGAGGTTTCCAATTATTTCTTCCCTTTCCAGAAAGGAATGTGTTTTATTGTTAGGTTCTCTCTTGCTCTCACCCTTTCCTTCTCCTATGTCTTGCCCTTGTTTTATATAAGCTGAGTTTGGAAATTCCTGGGGGGTTTGGCCATCTCTATTTCATGAAGACATGCTTACTTAAACTCACTAGTTACCAGTAACCTACTTGGGATATTTTTTTAAGCTGTGCTTGACAAAATAAACTATCTTAKCATTCTGATTATTTCATTATATCTATGGTTATGTATGTAAGAAATACTAAGAAAAAGATAGTTTTTCTGTGTAGCTTTCTTGCATTGTTTTACTGTAGTATTTTCAGTATTTTTAAAGAAGTTTAGTTTAGCTCCAGGTTTATTTAGCTGTGCAAATAGTACTGCTATTCATGTATGTATGTGCTGTGTTTATGAGTAATAAGACTGACTGATTTTGGTCTCATTCTCCTGGCAATGGCAGTACAGAATTATTTCTAGTGCAGATTATGTCGTAACTTTTCACCTAAGAACGTGTGTACAAGAAAGTACAACATACACAAATATGTTTCCTTTTAGCTAATGGCATGTGGAGTAAAGCAACAGAAACTCTTTTAAGTGCATGGTCCAAGAAACCTTGAATATAAGGTGTGGCGTTTCARTGTCTTCCTATTTATATAGGCCTTTTTCTGTCAAAACATGCTAAATGGTCTTATTTTGTGAAAAAGAAGTATTCTTTCCTGTATACATATTTCTTATTTAAGAACAAGTTTTGGCTTAGTGTAGCCACCTTCAATACCTCTAAAATATGCACTATGGAGCTTGCTTTCCAGTCTTTAAGTGAGATCTGCCTTTGAAACACCGAAAGAACAAAGTTGGTCACAGTGTGTCTTTGTGGGGAATATGGGGACAAGGGAATGTGCGCTTGGCAAGGGAGGACAGGCACGGGTTCACCCAGCTGGATGATTTGTAGATATGCCCGGTAGATATAACTTGCTGAAAATCTTATTCTAACTTTATCTGATAAATGAAATTGGAAAGAGATGCTATCCAAAATGTAAATGGAATTAACTGGGGTACACTGTGACTACAGATGGTAATTTCATGGTGTGCATGGAGAAGGGCAGGACTTGCATAGACATTGATGGGAAAGATAACGTTGTTTGGATTGGCTCTCACGAACAGCAGCACCTCAACTTTGGCTGGAGTGCATTGTCTGCATCTTAGTGGACTTCAGTCTCTGGCATGATCAGTAATGATTGGAGCTTCTAGTGTGTTATCTTCCAAAAATTTAGAAAATTATACAAAACYAACAAAAGGTGTGGTATTTATTAATCAGTGGATGTTTGGATTGTAGACTTTGCTAGCAAGCATTTGTTACATGTGAGAAAAGCAATTATGATCCTCATGCTTATTTTTTTAACTGACACATTTGTTTTCTTTTCAGTTTTGTTTGGCTATGCCACCACGGTTATTCCTCGTGTGTACACATACTATGTGTCAACGGCACTGTTTGCAATCTTTGGCATCCGAATGCTTCGGGAAGGCTTGAAAATGAGTCCAGATGAGGGTCAGGAAGAGCTGGAGGAAGTTCAAGCTGAAATTAAAAAAAAAGATGAGGAAGTAAGTTATAAAATGTCTGTTAGTTACAGCTGGTGGAASAGTTACAGCTGTGAATTTGCAGAACAGCATTGTCATGTTTGGGATATTCAGCTGTGTCCGTGATTGCTAATCTAACACAGAAAATGTGTGGTAGATGGGACAGAAATGGCCCCTGGAGGCGCTTTCAGCAGGGAATTCTAGTTCTGTGGCAAGCCTGGCTTAGGAGCAAAGGGATCTTCTGCTTAGCATGGGTGTTTTTGAGGTGTTTTTAATACATTGCTAGCAGAGAGGACATCAAYAGTTTATTCATGGCTCTACTTTTATTTGTTTTTATGGTCATACACTTTATTTGTAAGCAGTACAAAATGTACAATAATCGGAGGTTAGAGCTGATTACAGCTATATATGTATGTATGTATATTTCCACATACATACGTGTGTGCACATACTTAGCAATTTTTTTGTAATGGTGACTATAAATTATATGTTGATAATGCAGCGGTCAGTGGCTAATAACATTCTAGAAACTAAATGTGTAGCTTTATTGTTAAGTGTTTTCTTTAGGTTGTTTAGATGACATTTTAAATTTTATGGTTATTTTTTGTTTTTTTTTCCCCTTGACCTCCATAGCTTCAGAGGACTAAACTGTTAAATGGACCAGGAGATGTGGAATCTGGGCCAAGCACTACTATACCTCAGAAGAAGTGGCTACATTTTATTTCTCCAATCTTTGTTCAAGCTTTTACTTTAACATTTTTAGCAGAATGGGGTGATCGTTCCCAATTAACAACCATAGTCCTGGCTGCCAGAGAGGTGAGTGTTGCAGAATCCCTGTTATTCTTGTGCCCTCTTTGGGTTGCCCATAGGGAGGTGAGAGACAAAATACTCTTGCAGGAGGTACCAGCTTCACACCTGCTGTCTTGATATGCCTTATCAATGTCAAGACCTGACAATAAATGCACTGAAGCTCTGTGTGTTATTAAAACTATTGTTACATGATTGGGACTGCACTGGCATTTCTGATATAATATAGTTGCTTTATATTGTGCAGCTGTTTTGTTACAGTGTTGAGAGATGTTACAGAACAGGTTCCTTTGCTCTGTGTGGTCATTCAGTTTTAACTCAGTAACTTTAAAAGATACTTTAATTCTGTCAAGTTTAAAATTAGTAGTAAGAGACCTCAGATACCTCTTGTTAAAATGTGGGTTAAGGTGGTACAGTGTATAGAAGGACAATAAACTAAACTGCTRGACACTAAGTAATGCTGTAAATTAAATTGTGATGATCATTGTGATGATTAGAGCATATATAACTATTATATATAAAGGAAGACAAAGGCTTATAGTCAAGCTTTTAATAAACATAAGCAGCTTGCTCTTTCATTGAGATAATTTACTTTTTTTTTCCCTAGGACTCSTGCTTCTTTTAGGTGCACTTTCAGACATTCCCTAGAGATAAATCAGGGCTATGTAATRAAGGAGACTGTAATCTGCAGGAGCCTCTTGTCTCTATTACAGTGTAGGGAAGATGTTTAGCATTAACAGCAGGAGAGGGTGATCTCATTGTTCAGGCAGTTACATGCCATCTTGGAAAAAAAGGAAGCACTACAGCCTCTGCCCAATATGCTAGGCATCTTTTACAGGGGATTCTTGACTTCTAGTTTGCATTTTCTAAGTGTCCCCTTAGGAAGTGTCTGTCAGACTCTTTGGTCTGATTTGTGAAGTGCTGAGCATTGCAKTTAAAGCCTGTGGGCTGCCATACCTGTAGAGTATGAAGTGTTCATAGGAGTGCTACCAAACAAATACCACAAAAAATAAATTGAAAGATATCTTGATATTGTCTTTCAAAATCAGTGAATGATTATGATGGAATGGGGGGGATGAGATCCACCTTCTGCCAGTGAGAGCTTTATAGGTAATTGCTGACTGTAGGGATAGCCAGGAATTTTGTATCCTGATCCTGGGGACAGGTTTGTTCTGCTGGCCCAGCCTTGCTTCTTTCTGCACTTCTTGGTGCTTTCCARTCTGTCAGTTCCTTGATGCTCGTCACCTTTTCTCACGAGGTTGTGGTTTTGGTTCTTTTGGGCAGTAAGTGTTGTCTTCAAACCACAGAATTTCTTAAACAGTTTAGCTGTTTGCCTCTTTGAGATTTCATGCATTCCTTGGGTGATGGCAGCAGCTTTTCTTTTTGGACCTGAAAGTGTCACATAGAGATGAGCAGGGGACATATGCTGTCCTTAACTGTAATTTCTAAGGAGATCTGAGAAACCTCTCTAGGTAGTACAGTTGTTTGCACATTGAGGAGCTGCTTGTTACAGTGATGTGGAAAGCTGTTGTTGACAGTAAATTATAAAACAGTTTATTATCCTCTGGACTCAAGATTTTTCATGCTTCCCTCTTTGGATGATGGAGGGGGGCAGAGTGTAGAGCACAAGTATGTAAAGAAGGGCAAAGAATTTGGAATGTTTTAGCTACTGAAAGCTTTCATTTGTAGTTCAAGGACTTAATTTCCTCTTTCTTTATAGACAGATTGGTGTTCTTCCAGCTGATGCATATTGTGTTTCTCAGCAGCTGCCACCTTCCCTCTAGAGGTTGCTTATGGGTTTAACTTAATGGAACAATTTCTGGATCTTTATTTAACAACTTAAAGATGCTGCTTGGCTGGAACATGCTATATGCCCCTATCTTAGTCTTTGATTTAGGTGTGTCTCACCAACTGATGAACACTGTTACTGGTCTTTCAGACAGTGCTGAATAGTAGAACAGAGGAATCACCAGACAGTATCTCCATGCTTGGCAGTCTGCAAGCAGGGAATCAGAGCATGGGTCCAAGGTTGTTGTAGGACTAATGGGWTTTCAACAGTGCTGATTTATCCCTTTGTGCTTTTATTTTTCCCTCTTTAGGACCCTTATGGTGTGGCAGTAGGAGGAACAGTGGGACATTGCCTATGCACTGGTTTAGCAGTTATTGGAGGGAGAATGATAGCACAAAAAATTTCTGTTAGGACTGGTAAGTGAAAACTCACTCCAACCAAAAAAAAGTAATGCTGGTGATATTTGTGGTGGAAAGGGCTGCATGCTTGGAAACAGTGTTTCTCARAACTTGGAAAACCCATAAAAACTAGTGGTTTGGTTTGGATTTTTTAGGGTTTTTTGAGTCTGTCCTACATGCCACCTTGTTTTTCTTCACTATTAGCTGCCCCTTTTAGGAGACCAGAGGAAGAAAATACACTATTTGGTCAGTATTTATTGTTTGACAGTGGATAATGGCAATTGTGTTGCAATTCTGAGTCTAGACTGCCAGGTGAGCAAGAGAACTGCATGCTAATAACTTATGCCAGCCATATAATAGGTTTGAAAGCTACTCTGTATGGCATAAATGTGGGKTTTTTTATCTTACCTGCTAACTGCAACAGGCAGGACCAGTAAGGTTACGTTGGGTTGTTTGTTTTTCCTTAGCTTGGGTTCCAGCTTGCTTCCACTGTCAGTCCTATGATGTGGTGAGATTTCTTGCTCCCAAGAATAATCCTGTGAAGATGCTTCCTATAAATGTTCATTCAGAATACTTCTTCTGTAGTTGCAGAGGTGGTAAATAACCAGCTTCACTGCTGAAAGTGAAACATGCACTCTGTTGTGTTTGTTTGCTGAGGAGATTGGTGACAAAATGCTAATCTAACAATGCTCATATGCTCCAAGCACAGTGTGGATCTTGAGCCACAGGAATAGCCTTAGATTAAATCAAAGATCCTTCTAGCATGTTAGTTTGTTTAAAGAGTTGGAGAACATACAGTGGTGCTTTCCCAGGATTCTGTCCCAGCCTCTAGCAGATTGTGGCCATTGCAAGCATTTAATGTTTTTGATAGTGTTTCTTTCAATACAGTTGCCTAAAATGTCCAAAAATTGCTAGTTATATGTCAGTCTTAATTGATAGCTTGCTGCAGTGTGAGAATATTCTATCCTATTTTGTGTCATGCAGCCAAATACTCAACAGCAGGTGTTAACTTAGTTTTATACTAGCTCAAGTAATGAGTAAAATGAAGCTTCCCTCTATGGGCCAGGATATATTCTTGGAGATACAGTTAGATAGTGGGTTGGCATATGGGCATCCCCATGCTGAGCTGGAAACAACATCCACTGCTTGTAGCATAAATTTTTAAGTAAGGTCATTTGGGAATCAGACAAAAAAAATCTGTAATGTGTCATGAAGGATAATTACTTTTTTGATATCTAATTTCTTCTTTGTGTTTCTAACTTCTGCTTGTGTTTTCTTTTTCAGTGACAATCATAGGAGGTATTGTCTTCTTAGCATTTGCATTTTCTGCACTATTTATAAGTCCAGACTCTGGTTTTTAAAGTTTTCCATTGCTGTAAAAAAACAAGGATTGGAAGCATCAAGCAGTTATCCTTGTGCATTTTTGTATATAATGTACAGAATTCTAGTTAAACAAGTGCTGAAGATGAGACACTGAACTTTTTATAGCAGATGATTCATCGGACCGATCATTTTTGGACAGCTTCTGCAGTGGAGATCTGCTTATTGTCTGGTTTGTTTGTGCTGTGGTTCCTGCTCCTGTGGTGGGATTTGAGTGGTTTTCTCGCTTGCTGGACCTGGCTCAGCTGAGTTCAAGGATCTACTTTCCTAAGTATTGAGAATTCCTCTCTTCTTCCTCCGTTATCCACAACTGCCTTCCCTGTTTCTGCAAGAGCTGATTCTTCAGGCCTCTCAAAGCAGACAGTGTCTTGTTCCTCAGCAGAAGGTGTTAAAGAGAAAACTGCTGGCTCCCACCTCCAGAGATGGTGGTTCCATRGAGTGCCTGAGGCTGGATAATCTAAGCAAGAAGAAACCTGGGAGCAGTTCCTATGGCATCCAGTGGCTGAGCCAGCCAACAGAGATGTTATAAACTTAATTTAGAGGGAAAACTTCTTAATCAGGGATTTTTATCAGGAAATTGATGTGGGGTGATTAACAACCTACTGTGTTCAATATGCAATCTGGATGGAGCTAGTATTATTTGACTTTTTTAAAATTTTCAAATATTAGGGTATACAGAAAGTAATAAAGTGATCCTACTTAACCATGTTCTCTTCCCAGGATTGAGCAGTAATGGAATTCTTAGGTTTAGATGTATTCCTGATTTTTCTTTTTAGGAATAGAAATGTAATCTGGAGGAGTATTAATAAAACATAGTGTCTCCATTTGTGTTACTTTCAGTATTGTTTTTAATGGCTCCCCTAATTCCTGCCACAAAGGTTTACCTAGTGATTATGTACTACTAAATTTATTTTGGTTACTGATGAATGCCAATGTTATAAAGACTTTGAGAATGTTGAGCACTGAAGATACATGGGTTGCAGAAATACATGTTTATCTCTGCTCTTCCGTGGTGTCCAGACTTTGCGCGTATATAACCCACTAACTTGTAGCAGTCTTGGAAGATAGAGGACATGGTTTCTAATATTATGAATCTGCCCTTTTTTGAAGCTGGAGTACTATGGATCATTACAGATCTGACCATTCCATTTGTAGATCACAAACACAGCAGCCCTTAATCCTTCTCTTAGGTTTCTCTTCCTAGAAAACCCCTTAATGCCCCATTTCTCAAACTCTTAAGACCTAAGCAGTGCAATGCCAGGCGTGCACAGTGTTCTACATGTCTTGGCCGAAAGGAACTGCACTGGTTTGGTGATGAGATTTTTTTGGGTTGTTTTAAAGGTTTTTTTTGTTGTTTTTGTTTTCTTTTAAACCAGACTTTGTAGCCAAAATCTGTAGCCTCTTCTTTCCCAGTCTGAGGACCCAGCACTCTGTCCATGATGAGTTTCAATGCCTGCAGGGAGTGCATTTATTGCAGAGATCATGTTAAAACAGGGCAGGAACAGGGATCTGAAAAGAGAAGAGCCTAAACTTGTTTGTGGGATAACTGCTTGTGTTAATCAGAAGTGGTGCTGCTGGACATTCATACAGGTAACTGTGGTGCCACCTGTTTTTTTTCTTTTTAGGAATAGAAATGTAATTGGGAAAAGACGCTGAGGTTTTTTTTTCTCAAAATCCAAAAAGCCAAACCAGTTGGCCATGCTCTAATTGTAGAAGCTTCTCAAAGTTTGTGTGCTGCTTAATGCTGTTTTTGATACAAAACCAGTTAGGATCATAGACAGGATCAACAGAAAAATGAAGCTCTTCAAGAGGTTGTAGCAACAAGCATGAAGTTGCACAACAAATCTCTGCAACTTCCACATCTGTATTTTATTATTACAAATTTACAGGTGCCAAGGACTACGGACTACTTTTGCCCAGTCACAGCAGTGTATTTGACTTGCTCTCTAAGGCCAGCTAGGCAGGTAGGAGTATGTTTCAATAGTGCTGCTTGAGTAGCTTTTACATCTATTTTTTTTTTTAAAGCACTTTAACATTGACTTATTGGAAGTCTAGCATAAAATTAGCTCATGAAATTTTAGTAAAAGCTTGGAAAGGTGCCCTAGTATTTGCCAGTAGTTACAGTGATTTAATGTTGTCGAGTGGCTGTTGGAATTTTTCCCAATTTAAAGGATCAAGCTGGGATGTAAGAACTGTTGAGGATAGTGGAGGGATCCAGTGACATTCTTAGTGCTGTGTCTGCTGTGCAGTTTCCAGTAGACTTGCCTTTATCCCTCCCTCCAGTGTCTCAAARGAATTGAACCCAACCAGCTGCTGGCTGGTTCAGGGGCTGGGATTTTAGCAGTTTTCATCAGACTTCCTGTCATTCTAGTCCATTGCTGGGGAGAGGGGTGTGCTGCTGTTCTGTCTCAAAATACTGGATCCTTGAGATAAAAGCAATATAGAGAGTGTATGGGCATTTATATATGGGGTAACCAGCTGAAGTTTTGAATGCCACAGTTCTGTGCACTTGCTTGTTCTTTTGTAGCTGGAGAATCTGAAATGCAGTCAGTGAGAGCTCAAGTGTTGAAGGGGAGGCTCTGCAATCCAGTGCATCTGCAGCATGGGAAACRGCAACTGTCCAGCACAGGTTTCCCATCCATCCTGCAGCTCTCCCTGCTGTGATGAGATGCAGCTGCTTTCAGCTGCTGCCAGAGGAACCTCAAACACAGCATCTAAAGCAGGAATTTACATCTCTGACTGCATGTTGCACACAGCAGAGGTTTTCAAGTGCACACTGCCAGCAACTGTTCATTTCCAGGTAACAAATGCAGGTGATGGTCAGTTCTACAGGGRTAGAAAATTTTCAATTCAGATGAAATGTTTACAGTGAAAAAAGCTTGGGATTATTTTCAAAGGTGCCTATTTTCCCATTCCACAGATAAAGTGTGTCTCATTACTCTATATATGACAAAGTGTAATTAGCAAAGACTAAGGTAAACTTCTGATCTTCCATCTTGCCAGGACGAAGTTTTTCAAAGAAGTGTGTTGAACCGAAATACAGGAACAGGTCAAAAGCCTGCTCTCCCTAGGGTAATGCCTGCAGCTGGGTGGGTGCTGGTGCCTGGGCTTGCTGTTCTCAGAYCAGACACCAAGTCAGGAAAACTGGAAGTGAGAGAGGGGCTGTACTCCCTGAATGTGCTCCCATACGTTGTCCCAGGCTGTCCGTCACCTCAGCTGCCCCGCCAGCTTAGGCTGGCTCTGGAATGCTGCCAACCAGATTCAAGTGAGCAGTTTTACAACGTATTTCTAGAAAGAGGTTGGTAGTTTAGTGCACCTCCATGTTTGTCCCAGACACTGTATAATTTAAAAAAAAAATCAGATCTTGAATCAAGAGGATCAGACGGTTTCATTCTAATATAATCTGAGTTATCCTTAAATTCCAGAGAAATGGAAATACTGATGTAATGGCACTTGCTGTACTGACATGRCATTTTTCCAGAGATGACTGTGTATGGCCTCTGAAATCAGCATCCTGGGCAAGTTACAGCTACTGTACATACAGGTTACATTTCTGTAGCATTTCCCATTGACATGGGGCATGTACTATAGCTGTGTGTTCCTCTGGGATTATTTAAATTAACTTGCCAAATGAGAATGTATTTGCCAAAGGGTCTGACAGTGATAGAGTCTGTGTACCACAATGAATGCTAATAAGGCTCTTGTTATTATATAGTGTTACCCTCAAACAGCTGAAAGCTTTGGGAATTTGTATAAGTAATACTTGAGAGTCAGAAGTGCAGCTAACCTTTGGACAGCTAATTTTTACAAGCACTTAACAGCTTCATTTTCATATAAACATGGGTTTGTTTTTAAGCTTGCATGACAGCAAAATGCCATTGAACAGSATTGCTTCAGGTGTAGTAGCAGTTGTAATGACCACTCTTCTTAGGGTAAGTTTATGGAAAAATACATTGTTATTTCAGAAGTTCAGTTTGAAGAAAACTGATAATCTTGCTTGCTATGTGCTCTCAGTCTTATCACTGATGGGGGTTGACAGTTCTTAACTACAGCTACAGCACTTCTACAGCTGATTTTGTTTTGCTCCTAGGGCAAGGGGGCCTCATGGCATATAGAAGTAATACACAGCTTGTGAAAGTATTATTTAATTCTCAAAGGCAAAAGATCAGTATCTTCCTCAGGGCATCCAGTGTGATATTACAGGAAAAAAAAATTACTGCAGACTGTAAAAATGGCCAAGTGTATTTATAATTTTCTCCAGGCATTCAGCTTCAATTACAGAATTTTCTTCCCACCCACCTTTCTGTGAACATTTAATTCATCTGGAATTATTGTTTACACCTTGATCAGTGAAAAGAGGCTTAGACCACCCTGACAGGTTACATATTATCACACAGCTCTTCCAGGYAAGAGCTACATGCTCTCAACAAGTTGTGCTCGCAGCTAAATGCAAGTCTCTGTTTCCTCACTGAGTGGCATAGCCAACATTTCAGACCACCTCCACCCCTTTAAAAACGCTGTTCTTTGACATTTCACCAGCAGAAGAAATACCCAGGGAGGGGAGTGGCACCAATTTAAAGAGAGGGGTGTTTTGCCCATGACAGAAAGTGAGGGAAGGGGCTATGCCTATCCAAACACTCTGCAGTGCTGCTCCATCCTTTGGCAACAATAGGGACTGTAGACGTGAAGGTACAAAAGCAGTTTTAAGTTGTGTACACTCAATCTAGTGCTGTGTGAGCAAATTCCAAGGCAGTAACATAAATACACAAATCAGAGGTCTCTAGCCTTTAGAGTGGGGCATCAGTTTATAAAGAGATACAGAGAGAAGACAAGGAAAAAATACAGTATGCATTTTTACTGAAATCTCRCAAGTCATTTGTCTGGGTAGGGGAGAGAAGATAAAAGTGACATCAAGCAACTTCTCACAAGTCAGTTCTGTGGGTGGGGGAGAGAGTGCCTTTGGTACAGTCATGGGAAGGGTAAGAGCGCTTCACTGGGAAACTTGGATAAAACTGACATCAAGCAACTCAGAAAAAAACTTCTAGAACCTTAGAAGCTACAGAAAGCAAAATTTTAAATGAGTTACATTTATTCAGTTAAAAAATTGACAGTTAGTAATGGTCACATGAACACCAGGGAACTGTATCTACATTTCCTGACGTCAATATGAACGGCACTAGGGTTTTCTGTTTTCTTTTACGTATATAAATCTAATGCCAGTTAAAAAAATACAAAACGAAACTGAAACCCAAGACACTGTGAAATCAACACTGCTTAAAAACTCAAAATTCAATCTGATATATTTGAAAATAAATATTTTTTACCTATCTTGTTAGAAAAAGTCAACTCACCAACTGCTTTCAAAGCAGTTACATCTTTAAGACCATTCCCAAAAGTGTTTCATAAATAATTACCCATTGATTGATTGTCTATTAATGCAGCATCTCTCAGTCATAGCTGGGGTCTCTGTATTAGGCCATAAAGTATTTTTTTCAGACACAGTGTTTTGTTCCCCCCCTTCCTTTTTATTTAGGTATACTTTCTTTGAATATAGCATATCATGCTGGCAAAATTCATGCAGATGGCATAGCATGAAATATCGCAGAGCTTAAAATCACCTGTTTAAAATAGAAAAAAAAAGGAAAAGACAAGGAATGTAGTGTTAAAAATCATGATAGTGAAAAAGCAACTATCCAGTCTCATGGACAACCAAGACAATTTCAAATGTTCTCTCACAGCTGTCTCATCTACTATGATTTGTTTAAATATGACTTTTTTAATCCAAATTCATTTCGTTCTCTTCAATTTTTTCCACCAGGGATAA